TATCGCTACTCAATTAATACGGGGACGCTGGATGACGCGTTGGCACGGATGTACCCGGTTTAAAGATATGGGGGCGCTGGATAACGCGTAGAACAAATTAATCGAAAAAATGCTATCGATTTCCAATTAATACAGGGACGCTGGATAACGCGTTGACACGAATGCACTCGGTTCAAAAGATATGGGGGCGCTGGATAACGCGTTGGCACGGATGTACCCGGTTTAAAGATATGGGGGCGCTGGATAACGCGTAGAACAAATTAATCGAAAAAGATGTTATCGCTACTCAATTAATACGGGGACGCTGGATGACGCGTTGGCATGGATGAACTCGGTTCAAAAGATATGGGGGCGCTGGATGACGCGTTGGCACGGATGTACCCGGTTTAAAGATATGGGGGCGCTGGGTAACGCGTAGAACAAATGAATCGAAAAAATGCTATCGATTTCCAATTAATACAGGTACGCTGGATAACGCGTTGACACGAATGTACTCGGTTCAAAAGATATGGGGGCGCTGGATAACGCGTTGGCACGGATGTACCCGGTTTAAAGATATGGGGGCGCTGGATAACGCGTAGAACAAATTAATCGAAAAGGATGTTATCGATTTTAAATCAATAGAGGGACGCTGGATAAGCGCAGGAAAACAGAGTTAATGGAAAAAATTATATTTATCGATTTGGAATAAGTGCAGGGACGCTGGATAAGCGTAAATAAACAAATAATACTCGAAAAGGATGTTATCGATTTTAAATCAATACAGGGACGCTGGATAAGCGCAGGAAAAACAGAGTTAATCGAAAAAATTATATTTATCGATTTGGAATAAGTGCAGGGACGCTGGATAAGCGTAAATAAACAAATAATACTCGAAAAGGATGTTATCGATTTTTAAATCAATACAGGGACGCTGGATAAGCGCAGGAAAACAGAGTTAATCGACAAAATTATATTTATCGATTTGAAATAGAACCGAGACAAAATATGTAGAATCAATTATTCGGGGACAAATAAATGTTTGTCGAAAAATACTGTGGGGTTGGAAAGTGTGTTGCATTTTCAATCGGAATGGGCTGGAGGACTATCGATATATCGATAGAGACAGGATCTTTAGGACCAAGGGGGGCAGGGATTCAAAAGAGCGAACCGGGAATAGGTAACGGGCTTTGGTCAAGGGAATTAAGAGAAATGGTTTTTACCCTTGGCCTCGGCCGTTGCACCGAAAAAAGAACGGTTCCTAGGTCTGAACTCGGGTGACAGGCCGAAGCCTATATAGGGAGGGATAGGCAACATGGAAGCCGGCAGTAGCAACGAAAAGTCAATGCGAAAAGCAGCTAATCTCCTGGGCGGCTAGGAATTACCTGAAGAACGTGGGTGAAAGTGAAAAGATTCAAAAGCGTGGTATTAAATAAACGTTTAATTTCAGCGTGGCAGTGAATCAATCGCTGGCCACGGCGATTTTTATTGAAAATTGGTGAAATTATACGGAGAATCTTACCCGCCGCCGACGTTCTGGGGAGGATATATTCTGAAGAGGAGTGAGGGAAATTTTCAAACGAGCCTCTCAGCAGCCGTTGACGGAGCCAGCTATCGAGCCAAACGGGAATCCGGTGAGTCCGTTCCGTTAAGCGCCGTCCGGAACCGGCAGGTTTTTTCGTACCCATATTTGGGGACATCCATTGGCTCTGCCTCTTCTCCGAATCGACGTGGCCGTGGCTGCGTCCTACTGGCCCTACTTTCCTCGGGCTAGCCGTCGCCAACAGTCGTCACGATTTCTGGCCACTCAGGCCACCGAAGCCATTTGCGGGTCGCCAATAGTGCCTTCTAGTTGCTAAGATATAATTAATTAATTAGTGTTTGATGTATTTTTTTTTTGTAAACTCACGTATCGCCGTAATTTGTCCTCTGCGTTGTCGTAGTCCCTGGGTCCGGGATTTGTGCAACACAAGGCTGCAATAGGGCCGATTCGGGGTGAAGAAGCTGGACCAAAATCGAAGTAGAACCCTCTCCCCTTTTATTTCTCTTGGAGCTCCAGTAGGGATATCAGGTTGGAAGTAGCAAATTCTTTTGGCCAGGTTGTGGCCTGTTGTGTGTTGGCGGAGCGCCGCTTCTCCTCCGCGATATCCGGAAACATTTGCTTGGCAGCCTTGGCGCGAGCGCATCCCTGGCTGAGGCCACGCTCTCGCCGGGAGCAAGTGAGGTGTTACCTGGGTTACAAATATGTACTCTGCCAATGTTAGCCTTAAATACCTTGAATTTATAAAGTATTAAACACGATGAACTTTGAGTAAAAAGTATTTACCTGGGGAGATGGGCCGGCCGTCGAGCCGCCTGGATTAGACTCCGGTCCGCCGGAGATGGGTGGTGCCCCTAGACACACCGGAGGCACCACAGGTTGGGCGGGAGCGTCGTGGCGACTCCATCTATGCCACCATTCCGCAAAAGTCATCAATTTTTGGTTTGTTTACTTTTGTTTGTTAGGGCATAGGTTCCTACCCCCCCTGGGCATCCACTGAGCTAGTCCGGCATTGCCCAGGGAATATGCAGTTCCGTAACAATATGGCGCCCAAGTTAAAAAAAAAAAATTTTCATCGGGATGAGGACGTCTTGTCCAGTCACGTCCTGGGCTATCCAGCCCCCCACAAACGGTGGCTTGCGAGGCCTATATTACGGCCTGCAATTGCACCGGGGACATGGAGACTGGTGGTCCAGGCGGAGGCATTTTTTTTTGTTTATCGTTTTCTTTTGGTTTTTGTCTAGACGGGAGGCTTGGGCCGCAGGAGAGTGGACAATTGCTCCAAGTCACAGCTTGCAGCTGTTTTGCTGTGCAGAGGTGGTGGCATCCGGGCGTAGGACGCCGGATTTGCATCCCTCGGGCACAGACCCGTGCAGGAAGCACGCGATACAAGAAAAGCTGTGAGATAATTGATAGGGATACATGTTAATTTTTTTGTTTATTAACGTAAAGTCTGGTAATTTTTGTTTTGTTAACGTAATTTTGTGCGGATCCTTGGGTTTTCCTGGTGAGGGTGGCTTTTGGGATCGTCTTGGAGGTGGGTGTCGTGACCCGCAGGATACACTGCGCGTTGCACGACCACGCCACAGGGTGAACCTCAAGCCGCGTTCGCCAAGGAAAATCCTACGGGATGCTGCGAAGGCCGAAGTCCTTAACTGGCGACTTTCAGCACAGCTGAAAGTTAGTCCAGTTGACGAGCGGCCGGAGTAGAGACGACCGGAAGGAATGTAAGACGCAGGAAATCTGGCACGGAGTCCACCGGCGGTTGATCGGCTCCATCTCCCCTAAGAAGTAAGAAGGAAAGGAAAATTAGTTGACTGGTTATTTATTTATTTATTTTTGGTTATTTATTTATTTAGTTGTGGTTATTTATTTATTTATTTTTGGTTATTTATTTATTTATTTGTGTTTATATATTTATTTATTTGCTGTTTGTTATTTATTTACTTATCTTGCTTTATTTATTTATTTATATCGTTATATTTATTATTTATTTATTTATTTATTCAGTGTTAGGTGTTTGTTTAGAGATTTGGGTAGGTGGTGTTATAAATTTGTTAGGTGTTTCGCAGGTTAGGAGTTAATAAAAAAATGGCAGAGGAAAGGCAGGACAGATATGAGCTTAGATCGAAGGGTCCTTCAGCCCAGGAAGAAGAAATGTGGTCCACGGACGCGGAAGGTGCTGCTGGGTACGCGCCGCCGCGGTTTTCAACCGGGTTGGTGAGGACTCCACCGCGACGACGGGCAGAGGAGCAGCCAGGGGAACCGAAGCAGCTCAAGTCGCTGGAGTTTGAAGCTATCGGGGCAGCAGCTGACAAGCTGTTGGAGGCGGAATCCCCCCCGAAGGAGGTACGCTTCCAGAGTCCTCCGGTGGACTCAACGATCACGTCGGCGGTGAACCTCGCCCTAGCGCAGGCAGCGGAAACGTACCGCAAGTCCCAGGAGGCGGGAATCGGCCAAGGGTTGCGGGACGAGCTGCGGGCGGGCTTCCTGGAGATGATGAATCTGATGAATCAGGTGTTGAGACCGGTAGGAGCCGCAGCGGACGCCAGCCCAGCAGCAACAGCAGCCTCTGCCAGAGGGACGGCAACAGCAGCCTCTGCCAGAGGGACGGCCACAGCAACCTTTTCCTATGGGACGACAGGCGGAGGGACCCCAGGGCGCTCGTGGAGCCATACCGCGGAGCCACCAGACGGTCAGTGGGCAAGCGGCAAGGACACCTCCGCGTGTTCCACCGAAGCCGCCCAGGAAAGCACCGTACCCGGACGAGACAGTCTGCAGCAGCCCAGGGTGGTCCACTGAAGTCGAGGAGATCCGTCGGGACGAGGGCGGACGTCGGAATTGGCGAGTGGAGGATCGCCGCGCGGGCGAGTTCCAAGATGAGCGGGCGTACGCCAACTGGGACGTAACAGGAAGCAGCGCACAGTACACCAGGGTGGAGCGCTCATCTCATTCAGCGGCGAGGACGAGAGGAACCATGTCGAGGGGTTCCTATTCCGGTTGGAGTACCTCCAACGCCAAACTCGATGTCCGTGGGCTGAAGTTCTGTGAAACTTCCACACGTTGCTATCGGGACGGGCGTTGGAGTGGTATTGGATCCACGTCCAGCAGCATAGACTGGACCATTGGAGCCAGTTGCGTCGAGCGCTGCTTGACAGGTTTCAGAGCCACGAGACGGAGCACCAGCGGATGCACCTGCTCTTGCAACTGGAGCAGCAGCCAGGAGAGGGCGTAGACGATTACCTGCACGCCATGCAGACCCTTGCTTCTCGCCTGAAAAAGCCAATGCCAGAGCGGCACTTGGTAAAGGTGATGAAGAAGGGTTTACGAGAGGGAATCGCGCGTTTTATCTACGCGATGGAGCTGCTCACCGTTGATGAGTTGCGGCAGGAGGCCGTCGAGGTCGAGCGCAGTTTTGGACGCAGGAGCCGCACACCACTCCTTCCAGCGACGCGCTATCCGATAGGAGAGCGAAACAGGGTCAGCGAGGTGGCTGGACCGGAACCAGACGAGGAGGAGCACCCGCCAGAGGTCGAGGAAGTCCGGGAGAGGCCACGAAATCCGTTCCGCGCCGGATGCTGGAACTGCGGAGCGTTAGACCATGGATTCCGCGATTGCGAGCAGGAGCTGCGAAAAGTGTTCTGCTTCCGATGTGGAAAGGCCGATACTGTTGCCCCAAAATGTCCGAATTGCGCGGGAAACGGTCGGCTGGGCGATGCGAGAGCGGGAGGAACTCGCCCAGGACGGAAACCCGCGATGTAGGGGAGCCTGCAAGGAAGGATACAAATACTAATCACCATAATCAAAATATATTAAGGTACTTACCATATGAGGAGCGCATGCGAAGGTATTTGGAAGCTAGAAATAGAATTTTTAAACAACACCAGCTGTGCGGAATGCGCCAGGTATCCCGAACGGTTCGGAAGGCCAGAGAGCGGTTTCGAAAGCGTAGGGAAAAGCGAAGAGAAGTCGTCGCAGCAGTGCAGCGGGGCGGCATCTCCGATCCCAGGCCCTTCGCCGGGATAACCATTTTAGGCCAGCAGCTGACGGGTCTATTGGACACCGGTGCAAGTGTCAGTCTGCTCGGCAAAGGCGGCAGGGAACTGGTGGAGGCGTTGGGGGTGCCGGTCCAGAGATATTTCTCGGTAGTGCGTACGGCCGCAGGCGAGGATCGGTCGATCATCGGGCGATTAAAGCTACCTGTGGAGTACAAAGGGAGGGTAGAGAGTATTCTTTTCTATCTTTGCCCGTACCTAGAGCAGCCGGCATATCTCGGAGTCGACTTTTTGGCGAGCGTTTGGCTTGGCTCCGGCCGTAGTGGGGGAAGTACCGACAAACAGCGTGATGAAGGCCGAAGAAATCCACGCCAGGGAAATGGAACACTACGCCGACCAAGAAGACGACGACGAAGAGAAGGTAGATCCCGAATCCTGGTCTCTATCCGAGGCGGAGTCCCGGAAGCCGGAGGAGATCAAGCTGATGTTTCTCACCTTTGAAAAGGATGGCTTAGGAACCACGAGCCTGGAGAAGCATTCCATAGAGCTGGCGCAAAGATTTTTAAGGATCGGCCCTATCCGATGTCTCCGGCGAAGCAGAAGGTGGTCGAGGACGAGGTCGACAAGATGCTGGCGCTGGGAGTCATCGAGGAGAGCAAGAGCCCGTGGAGTAACCGGACGACGGTGGTTTCAAAGCCTGGAAAGGACAGGTTCTGTTTGGATGCCAGGAAGCTGAACGAAGTGACCGTCAAGGATGCTTACCCCTTGCCTAGTATCGATGGAATCCTGTCCAGGATCGATCAGACGCACTACATTTCCAGCGTGGATTTAAAATTCGCGTTTTGGCAGATCGAACTGGACGAGAAGAGCAAGGAGTTGACAGCGTTTACGGTTCCTGGTCGGCCCCTGTACCAGTTCCGAGTGATGCCGTTCGGGCTCTGCAATGCGGCGCAGCGGCTGGTGAGACTCATGGACAGAGTAATCCCAGCAGAAATCCGGTCCAACGTGTTCGTCTACTTGGACGACCTGCTCATCCTGGCACCGGACATCGAGACGCACTTCCGGTACCTACGACGAGTCGCCGAATGCCTAAGAGAAGCAGGATTGACGATTGGGCTTAGCAAATCGAAATTTTGTTTCAAGTCGTTGACTTACCTAGGCTTCATCGTAGGTGGAGGTCGTCTGCGGATGGATCCAGGAAGGGTGGCTGCGATCCGTAGGATGCCAGAGCCGAGGACGATGAAGGAGGTGCGAGCATTTTTGGGCACGGCTGGCTGGTATCGGCGCTTCGTCAGGAACTTCGCAACGCTGGCAGCACCGCTCACCGAGGCGCTCAAGAAAACCGGGAACACTAAGTTTTCTCTGAGTCCGGAGGCGCAGCTGGCGGTCGAAGCCCTGAAGATGGCTCTAACGACAGCGCCGGTACTAGTCCACGCCGACTTCAAGCGGCACTTTTTTATCCAGTGCGACGCTTCTCACATCGGGGTTGGAGCGGTTCTGTTCCAGAAGGATGTGGACAACCAGGAGCAGCCGATAGCCTTCTTCTCGGCGAAGATGAACAAGCACCAGGTGAATTACACCGTCACCGAGAAAGAGTGCCTGGCAGCGCTCCTGGCGATCCGGAAGTTCCGTCCTTATGTGGAAGGGATGCCGTTCACCTGCATCACTGATCATGCCAGCCTAAAGTGGTTGATGTCCATGAAGGATCTCTCGGGACGCCTGGCCAGGTGGTCTCTGCAGCTCCAGGGATTCAACTTCAACATCGAGCACCGGAAGGGCAGCGAGAACGTGGTTGCAGACACGCTTTCGCGATGCGTAGAGGAGATCGCCATCGATCCGACAGAGTTGCTGGGTTTCGAGACCACCGAGTTTGCTGGGGATGAGTACCAGGAGTTAGTCCGTGAAGTGGAGGAGAATGCGGATAACTTACCGGATCTTAGGATCGAAGACGGTCTCATCTTCAAGCGAGTCTCCCCGGCAACGCTGGATGATGAAGTGGAAGGATCCGCATGGAAACTTTGGGTACCACAGAGTCTGACCCACAGCCTGGTTGAGCGAGCCCATACGGATCCCAAGGCAGCTCACGGCGGAATGGGGAAGACTCTGGAGATCCTGCGGAGGCAGTTCTACTGGCCTGGGATGGTGTTGCAGATCCGCGAGTTCGTCCGAAGATGTGAGATTTGCAAGGAGTCGAAGGCCCCGAACCACCGGATGATGGTGGGGATCGGAGAGCGGGTACAGACGGAACGGCCTTTCCAGAAGCTGTACGTCGACTTCCTTGGCAAATATCCGATGTCGAAGAAGGGACACGCGTGGATTTTCATAGTGGTGGACCACTTCTCCAAATACACGTTCCTCAAGGCGATGAGAGATGCAACCGCTTCGAACGTAGTAGATTTCCTAATTACGGAGGTCTTCTACAAGTTTGGAGTGCCGGAGGTGGTGCACTCTGACAACGGTCGGCAGTTCACCTCGAAGATCTTCGAGGAGGCGATGGAGACCCCGATTTACTCCCCACAGAGCAACGCAGCGGAACGGGTCAACCGGAGTGTCCTGGCAGCGATTCGAGGGTTCCTGGAGAGTGACCATCGGGAGTGGGATGCGTACCTTCCGGAGATTGAGGTGGCCATCAGGAATGCCGTCCATTCAGCAACAGGTGAGGCGCCGTTCTTTACGGTGTTCGGGCATCATATGTTCCTGCATGGGTCCAGCTACCGACTGGCAAGGAAGCTGCAGTCGATGTGTGACCATGAAATGGCCGGAATGCCGACGGCTGACAAACTCCGGGTGGTACAGGAGAAGGTGCGCAAGAGTCTGGAGACCGCATATGACCACAGTCGCCAGCGATACAACCAGAGGGCCAGAGTCTTCACCGCGAAGCCGGGGCAAGTCTATCGCTGGAACTTTGTCCTCAGCGACTTTGGGAAGCAATTTAATGCAAAGTTCGCCAAAAAGTTCCTGAAGGCCAGAGTGGTAAAGGCCGTAGGCAACAATGCGTACGAGCTGGAGGATCTGCAGGGCCGAAGTTTGGGCATCTATCACGCCAAGGACATCCGCATCTAACCTGGAAGGGAACAAAGAACACAAAGTATACAAGGACGGAAAGGAGCCTACAGACATCTGATACTTCCCGTAAGGCGTGGGCCCCGCGTTGGGCACCTGACGGAACTGCACGGGAACAATATTCAAATGCTCCCAATGATCCTGTCGAGCCGCCGTGATCCAGTAGCATCTCTCCAAATCCTTGGGTGGTGTTGCATTTTCAATCGGAATGGGCTGGAGGACTATCGATATATCGATAGAGACAGGATCTTTAGGACCAAGGGGGGCAGGGATTCAAAAGAGCGAACCGGGAATAGGTAACGGGCTTTGGTCAAGGGAATTAAGAGAAAGGGTTTTTACCCTTGGCCTCGGCCGTTGCACCGAAAAAAGAACGGTTCCTAGGTCTGAACTCGGGTGACAGGCCGAAGCCTATATAGGGAGGGATAGGCAACATGGAAGCCGGCAGTAGCAACGAAAAGTCAATGCGAAAAGCAGCTAATCTCCTGGGCGGCTAGGAATTACCTGAAGAACGTGGGTGAAAGTGAAAAGATTCAAAAGCGTGGTATTAAATAAACGTTTAATTTCAGCGTGGCAGTGAATCAATCGCTGGCCACGGCGATTTTTATTGAAAATTGGTGAAATTATACGGAGAATCTTACCCGCCGCCGACGTTCTGGAAAAGAGATATTTGTAGAAGAGGGATAAAAAAGGTTTCCAGCGAGCCTCAAAGCAGCCGTTGACGGAGCCACCTATCAAGCCAAACGGGAATCCGGTGAGTCCGTTCCGTGAAGCGCCGTCTGGAACCGGCAGGTTTTTTCGTACCCATATTTGGGGACATCCATTGGCTCTGCCTCTTCTCCGAAACGACGTGGCCGTGGCTACGTCCTACTGGCCCTACTTTCCTCGGGCTAGCCGTCGCCAACAGTCGTCACGATTTCTGGCCACTCAGGCCACCGAAGCCATTTGCGGGTCGCCAATAGTGCCTTCTAGTTGCTAAGATATAATTAATTAATTAGTGTTTGATGTATTTTTTTTTTGTAAACTCACGTATCGCCGTAATTTGTCCTCTGCGTTGTCGTAGTCCCTGGGTCCGGGATTTGTGCAACACAAGGCTGCAATAGGGCCGATTAGGGGTGAAGAAGCTGGACCAAAATCGAAGAAGAACCCTCTCCCCTTTTATTTCTCTTGGAGCTCCAGTAGGGATATCAGGTTGGAAGTAGCAAATTCTTTTGGCCAGGTTGTGGCCTGTTGTGTGTTGGCGGAGCGCCGCTTCTCCTCCGCGATATCCGGAAACATTTGCTTGGCAGCCTTGGCGCGAGCGCATCCCTGGCTGAGGCCACGCTCTCGCCGGGAGCAAGTGAGGTGTTACCTGGGTTACAAATATGTACTCTGCCAATGTTAGCCTTAAATACCTTGAATTTATAAAGTATTAAACACGATGAACTTTGAGTAAAAAGTATTTACCTGGGGAGATGGGCCGGCCGTCGAGCCGCCTGGATTAGACTCCGGTCCGCCGGAGATGGGTGGTGCCCCTAGACACACCGGAGGCACCACAGGTTGGGCGGGAGCGTCGTGGCGACTCCATCTATGCCACCATTCCGCAAAAGTCGTCAATTTTTGGTTTGTTTACTTTTGTTTGTTAGAGATGTGTTATCTGTTAGTGAGGAGTTTTGTTGAGACGTCCGATTAATCGGTGTTTTGTTGTGCGGACTGCGGGCATAGGTTCCTACCCCCCTGGGCATCCACTGAGCTAGTCCGGCATTGCCCAGGGAATATGCAGTTCCGTAACAAGTGAAGACAAAAGGATAAATCGAAAATGTATGCTTATCGCCTTTTAAGATATGCTTGGACGCTGGATAATGCGTACCAAAAAAATAATCGGAACGGTGTACACAATTTGGAAAAATTAGGTTGTAAATTAGTCGAATTGAAACTCAAAAACCAATAATGCAAAAAAAATGCACCCAAGTGTGAACGGCTCATTAACAGACGCGTATGGTAATAGCGTCGCAACCTTGGCGGCCTGTACTTACATACATATGTATTTACGCAAAATAAACAAATAAACAACTATTAAAAACGCAGATTTTTTTAATTTTGTTTGTTTCACTTGGTTTTGTGTTCGAATGCAGCGACACTGATACCCGCCGAGTCTCAATTGCCGGTCCGGCAAATTTGCATGAATATGTGCATATGTGTATGTATTTATATGCACGTATGATCGGCCAGCTG